GCAGTGGGGGTTGGGCTGCGTCCCATTCTTACGCCAGTCAACATGCGCCTTTGCCATGTGTATTTTGAAGTGCGCCAGGTTCACAACATGGCGTCACTCATGTGCACTGCGCGGAGGGATTGTCTGTGCTGTGCTCAGTATGCAGCAGATGGGTCAAGGCAGCGGAAGCACAGGCGGTGTAAAACACCCTTTCCGGGTACACGGCGCCAAACCTCCCAGTTGGACTGACCCAATGCAAACCATGTGCCATAGGTTTATGGAAGGGGCTTCACATATGGTTGAGTTGTGGCGAGTTGTGCTCCCTTCCAACGTATTTTATTCTGAAGGATTGTGGATGGTCCTCAGGACGGTGACTACACGAGGTAAGAACTGCTGCATGACCCAATTGCGCCGAACTTTCCATGCATGCCCACTTTGTTGTTGGTCAACAGCTGCGTTGAAGCTCAAGATGCTGGTGCCACTGTTAGGATTGTAGTTGTTAGGACCGTTAGGACATAATTGGCGACTTTCAGTCCACTTGGTTGCTCCCAAGCCCGGATAGGCACGTCAAACACTGAGGTTTGCTCATTTCCTGAGACCTGCGGAGGTCATTTTGCTTGCAATGGAGATGGGTAGCAGGAGGTCAAGGTGGATACATCTCAGAATCAGACCTCCCTATCACAATCGAGATGCACATTTGCCCGGTTGCAGTCTAGAATGCAGCCCAAGCGCCTTGGAGCCTTGGATCAGGCAGACATGTTTAAGTTAAAGCGTGATTTACATCCACCACTGACTGTAGGTCCCTTCCCCCTTTTTGCTTTTTCACCCTGATATCACCAGGAAGTCATGTTTGTTTGTGTTTGTGACGGGAGGGGCCATTGCTGTATGGTTAGCCCATGGGTTCCTAACAACACCGCAGGATGCGGGTGATGGACTTCTTGAGATGAAGACGATCAATATGACTCTACAAAATAACACTCCAAGTACATCCACGTACCTAAAGTAGTTAATGTATCCCCAGAATGGATGGCCATGTGGCCAGTATAAATCTGGATTTTAGTTAATATTGAGGGTACCTGGGAGGGGATGGGGCCTTTCAATTTGTAGACCTGTTATGGTTAATGCCCGGGAATGTATACATAGAGTCTCGGCCACCGGCATTTTACCAGAACATTTTGTCACATGTTCGAAGCACCCCGGGGGGTAGGTCATTCATTTTGTAGTGAGGCCACTTGAGTAACAGAAACATTTTGTAGTAACCTGATGTTGGTCGGTAACATCATGTGAGATTTTGTAAAACTGGTTGGACATGGTCAGACCCATTTGGGCTCAGAGGGCGCAAAATGAGATCAAAGATTATCAAATAGAATGACGGTGCCCATCCTTTGGTTGTCAATTTTGGCAGTCACCAGTGAGTTCACCACAAAATGCAAAACCAGGGTTTATTTTGGAAAGCCTTAGTTTAGACCCTCCATTTTGTAGTGCACTTTTCCCTTTCTCTTTCGATGATCATTTTGTTCTTCAGCCATTGCATTCTATAGTGAGTGTTCTGGAGCTTTTTGCATTTTATATTGCCAAACTCTGCCCCCCGCAAATCATTGCTACAAAATGGAATTCCATCGTCTCCATGGGTTTTTGAAGGGGGATGTTAATGTAGACTCTTGATTCATAACCCCACCCTACTTAAATTAAAACACCTCTTCTACCCCACGCGCTCCGGAAGGTTCGTCCCTCGACTAGAGCAATGTCGCCAGCTTCCACTGAAACGACAAACGAACATGTCTCTATGCACAAAGAGGAAAGTCACGAAAACCTGAACAGGGCAAACTCCCACGCATGCATTCCAGCTTTAATCACGCATCGTCCAACATCGACGAGGAAGCGCAGATCTTCTTGTGACCGGAAAAAAGAGGCACCCACAATCGCACCTGGTGGCATCGTCTTCCCCCATAAGCAGTTGAAGTGAGCGTCATGCTTCCCGGGGTGCAAAATAAAATCACATTGCTTCCTGAATGAAGTGAAGGCGGTCTTAATCCAGCTAATCAAAGCGCGGAAGGTAGCGTGCTCGTCAGCATGAACAGAGCAACGAAAACCAGCTTTCTGAAACTGGACAGCAACTTCAGCGTAGGAAATAGCAAGCGTGGCGTCTTGGCTCCAATGCAAGGAACTAATAAAACGACCAAACATTTCCCAATCATGGACAGGGTGTGGCCATTGACGATGAGGTGAGTCTGGCCAAACAGAGTCGCGTTGCCATATATGGGGGTTGATTAATCAAGAGTCTACATTACTGAGCCCTCCATGTTTCTCATGTTTCTTGTTGCCTTCGCATGACGAGAACCATTGGCTTTTCTTAGGCGGATGAGACCGACACGGAGACGCCCGAGACGGAGCCACGTGTGCTGTCCTTGCTGAGCCGTTTGCAGAACGAGGCCGAGAGGGTGTGCATAAAACATTGATCCACCCAAATACGCGCGGCCCTGTTCGGAACATCCTACAGTCAAATCTTGGTGAATAATCCTGTCCACCTATTAAAAGACACGCCTCGCCCCCCCTATTAAGAGAAACTCGGTCGCATTTTTGTTAATAGGGGGTCCCGGAAATCGGGGGGTTCCAAAATAGGGTCACCTGGGAAGAACTTCGAAACCAAAAAGTCATCCAGAACTTTTTTTATATAGATCATATCCTTTATTAAACCCGTCATCCAGATCGAAGGGTCTTCCTTTTCCCCTACAAAAACTTATTAGAATATTGCTTCTTCATTAGACTGATAACCAAAGCTTTCGAAAGGTGATGTCGCTGTGTCATGCGGTTTTGCATGACCTCGGTGGAAAGTGCGTTTGCCTGAGTCCGTGCCATTGGAGGAAGGAAAACCTGCTGGTGTAAACGCGGCGTGTCATGGTGGATACACAGGGCGGACAGATGTGGGCAGTTACCATTGTTTTTGGAACCTAATAAAAAGAAACTACCCCCAAATCGACTATATTGGTAGTTCAGTCGCGGGCTGAAAGGGCGGCAATTTAAAAACAAATATAAGCCGAACTTAGGGGTTCGGACGTGATGTTTTTTAATGGGGGAATTTTTTAAATGGGTACTCGGGGTTATATAGGTTGGAAGGTCGCCCGCAAAGAGCCCGCAGTGGAGAGCTGATCCATCAGTGTCCCTGATGTCCCAGGGTTACGTGAGGTCTCAGTGGGATAGCAACTTTTTATATACAGTGTAATCAATGTAATCAGCAGGTGAGCACATCTTGTTACTCACAAGAGTGGCCAACGAGTTCATTCAGGTGAGCAAAGTCAGACTGTGAGCGATGGTTGCATGGCGAAGCGAACGTAGCGGCAGTTTGCAAAACTCGAAGTTGAGAAATCTGGCGCGATTTGCCGGGCTTTGGTGTCCAGGTTTCAAGTACGAAGGTGTTTTTTTTTAACATGTTGTTTTGTTTTGTTTTTTGTGGATCCTTTTATGTTGCCTTTTCCTTGCACGATTGCTTCTCTATATGATATCGTTTGTTTTTCTTGAGATTGTCCTTGCTTCTCATTGCTTTCATTGCTTCTTTGTGGTTGCTCCTGCTTTCTGTGTTTGTGTTGCTTTTCCTTGCTGTTCACTGTTTCTTTGTGAATCGTTTGTAGCATACAGATTCCCCGTCGTAATTGTTGTTTCATTCTGTGGTCTTTGTTGCTATCGCTTGTGATTTGTTTGGGTAATGTTTCACCAGGTGTTACACTAGTCACTACTTAATATACACACATCAGACAAGCGCAACCCCATAACGGGGGATGCTAAGGGCCACCTGGATTTGGCCATCTGACGAAAGACTTGGATGCTCAGATCAGCGCGGTTCATCAAGCGCTGCCAAGGTAAAAATTAGACAAGGAACGGGACCTTCTGTGAGCGACCAGGTTCAGTTTTAGAGGTTAAACCGTAGGATACCTTTTGTAAGCCACCCGAGGGCATACAGTGCCGCACCTGCCACCGAAAACATCAAGTTAAAAAGACTAAACTTTTGAATTGTGAACTAGCACCATCACAACCCCAGAACGATGGATGCTAAGGGCTACCAGGTTTTTGCCACCTTAAGATCAGCGTTCCGTGCTTCCCACAGTGCACTCCGAGGTTCACAAAACGCTGCGCGCCACGAAATCTGCATTTCCAGCCATCCCAGCACCAAAACACAAGAACACATTAAAACAACGAAACGAATTCAACAATTAATTCCCGGACCTTCAAGGTAGTGCCCAGTGTCCTGATCAGGAGATGGAGAAGATGGATTCCGTTCTGGCCAGGAGCTAGCCTCAACTGCACTGCATGTCGTTTGTCGCCGCCGCTCCTTACTTTGGATCCGTAATACACAGAACCTCCTCCAGATGATCAAGATGCAACTGCCTTCTCTTCCAGTGGTAGCCATGTCAGGGACAGACGGCAGACCACTAAAACCGACCCGAGGTGTTTGAGCCAGAGCTTGGATTGGGGCAAAATCAGTCGGGATGCGGATGCCTTTTGGACCAAGTCCTTGAGCGGAGTACCTGGGCCGAGATTTGAGGCCTAGGATTTGGAAAGAATCCGAGACCCGCAGTGAGAGTGCCGTTTGACAAGTTTATTTTATATCAAAATCAACTATGGGCCATAGACTATGGGTGCATGATTTGATGACCAAATTTCAGGCTTGGAAACAACTGGAATCCAGTACGGGTGGATATATTCAATCTACTGCATCTCCAGTTCTTGCGAGACCTGTCGCAAGAAAGGAACAGAGCCTTCTTTGTCAGAAGTCAGCTCCACGACTCCACGACTCACTTTAAACTTTATACCCGCGACTTGCATTGATGACGTTAGTTATCATGACAACTCGGGACATGCTGCAACTCTCCTTTTGGGAATGGGACCCTGATATTGCCCAATGGACCAGCTTCAATGACAGGCTTCGTCATCATGAGTGCACCTCATGCATCGCAAAACACAGCAACAGCATGGCAGCGGCAGGCTCATACTCACAACACTTGGAAGGACACGCCATATGTTTGGCGACATTACTTTTCAAAATGGCAACTTTAGCCAACCAAGACAT